GGATTGGAGGTTAGGTTCGAGGTTGGTCTGATTTTAAGGGCCCACGCTTCAAAGCTCCTTGCTTTTGATTTCGGTTTTGGTGGTTTGTTTCAACGTTGAGGCTTCTCGAGCTGTCGCAAGAAGAAATCGTCACCATTGTCACTACGGGTCTAGGCACGCTGCTTCAAGAAGAATCCGAGCGCAAATGCAAGCAACCCAGTAGCTACTCTCCTCGTTTTGCACCAGGGCACCACATTGACAAGATCTTCGGATTCCGTCTTGAGCAACAGCAGTGGTAAAAGTTGCAAGGGCTCTTGTCTGTCTCATCTTTTTGCGGCCTCCGCCGGATTTCGCAACACCCGGCACTTTGCTAACCGAGGATCTGGTCAAAGCAGCTTACTTAGTCACTTTTCGACGTCGATCACAAGACACCTCGTGAAACACCAACAGCAGATCACCGGGAAGCATCACACACATACGCACAAACCAAATTTCCTGAATCCAACCGACATCGGAGCCTTAAAACTGAACTCCCCTCGGCCCTCGACCTTGTAGAGACCTGGATAGCAGAGTGGAGGATGCGCGGCGTTGGGTCGAAGAACAAGCTCCTTCAAAGGGCACGGTCTCTTAGGTTTCGTGTACGCTAAGATGTGTAGCTTCTACGGTTACTCTTCTCAGTATTGGCATGGTTTCTATTGCGTTTAGATCAAGTGCATTGCCGCGATAAGAGCAATGATGTTCATACCACGCCTGTGCTACTGCCGATTTTGTCATTTTCAGTACATACCAGCATTAACACAAATGGGCTCGAATCTCCGGGCTGCTACATGCATAAGTACACTTTATGGCTTGGGGTTGTGGCATGCGGTCGTTCTGAGCCACAGGGTCAACAGGGTCAACAAGGAAGTCCCACATCCGGAAGCACGACCGGTACGACACATCCATCCAGCCAATGCCGGTAGCCGCTTTCTTGTCAATTTCCCAAGCCTTTCACAAAGAGCTCCTCCTTACATCTCTTTGTCGCTCCATGTTTCCACGAACTGAGAAGAAAGGGAAACGAGTGAAAGCAGATGCTTTGCCTGATGCCAACAAATTCAACGGCAAGTTGGCGAAACATGTCGTCTGCGAAGTTGCTTTGGATCTTTTTGTACGCACAGCTGATCAGTCAAATCCGGGCAGCCTCCGAGCTATCTTTGGCCACACTGGTTCATGAAGTTGGCCCTGAAACATTTGCGAGTTCAAAACCTTATGCGCTCTAATCGCCGCCCCACCCTCCCGACCCTCCAAATCTAAACCCGCTAAAGCTGAACACTTGTGGTTCATGAGTGTTGGAGTCCTAAACTCCTACAAGACTCCAGAGAAGCCTTCAGCAACTGTTGGAGGAAGTGCCTGCACACGAAACTTCGACTTATGCCCCCGAATCCGGCAGGCAGGGTTTGCCGGCTTTGCAGTTTAAGGCTTAAGGTTTGGAGAGCAGCATAAGCTCCTTGGTCGTAACCAAGCCCTTCTTGTCATTGGCGTCTGTCACCTCGAACACCCACCTCGGTCATGGGAGGAGGTCCTTCTTATGCCTGGGCCTGAGTGCTTCTAGAACAGGGATATTGAAGGAACCCAACTTTGGAACAAGCTTCATACGGCGGGACGTATTGAATAAAAAAGATACCGAACCAATACACCTTTAACAATAACTCGCCGCCTGCCTGCGCAATCCACCCGCTTACAACGACGCTTCTCCAGTGCTAGCCGGGGCACTGAAACAGAGCCAGGCGCGTGCCATCCTCAGGGAAGGTGATCTTTCGAGACTCCTCCTCCGTGGTGGCTGTCGCATCATTCCAGGTGCTGGCATACTGCTCATGAGCTGATGCACTAAGCTCCAGCGATTCCTGTGCCACGAAAGGCACCTGGCCCCCGATGGTCGCTGAGGCACCGATTTCGGCTCCTACCTCGTTTGATCCGCCCCTGTCACTACCTTTCTCAATGCCGTATGTGAACTCCTTCTCCTCGCCCGGAAACCCTGTGTAGAGGTACTTCCAGTGCCCCTTCACTTTGAACTTGTCGGTGTGCACTGCCGAGGCACCGTTCGAGAATTCCACCTTCAGCGGAAGCATTCCTTGCTTCTTGCCGCAATACACATTCCAATAGGTCGACTGCGGTGGGGAACCTTTTGCTTTTTCGCGGTGGTAGTAAGGCTTGTGGAGGGGACTGAATGCGTGCGGATGGTCGGGGTAGATCGTGACCATTGCATCGCTACAGTCATGAGAATGGTCCAGGTCTTCAATCGCACTTTGGTCGACCTTGGCATACCCTGCATGCACCCGCCAGGTTCCGAATTGGCTGTTCTCGCCATCCTTGTCACCGTTGCATTCTCGATCGTAGTACAGCGTGTCGTCACCTTTCTCCGCACGGTAAAAAGCACGCCCATCGTGAGTCAGGCCTTGGTAGGTGTACACCCCATTCAACGCCGAGTTGGTAGTACCGGGGCAGTCAACTCCAGACACGGTCATCTTCTCGGCCACCCATCCAAACTTGTCTGTCCAACGCCGTCGCTCTGCAAGGTTCACGACGGCGGCACCCAGCGCCTCCCGCCAAACTCAGCTCACGAGGGGGCCGCGGTTTTCCTAACTGCTTGGCTAACCCACAATATCAGGCTGCACTACGCCGAAACCCGCCACTACCTGGAGTAAGCCGCGCATCCAGAATGCCCGCCTTTGGCGGCTCGATACCGCTTGCCCTCTGCAACCAGACAGCCACGGCACCAAGGGTGGAGAGGAGCAAGAAGGCCGGAACCTGAGCCAGGGCTGAGAGACTGCAAATGAAGGGCTTCAGAGTCCAACCTTCAGTGCAGCCCATTTAATGCGTTTTTCTCCGGCTAATTCAAGCCACCCCCAAAAATTCTGGTGTCCTAATTAATGCGTTTTTTTGGCCGGTGGGAAGTTTTTGGGGGTGACCGTCTGCTGATGGTCAATCTTAAGGCACCCACAACCTGGGGGGGGCTGGAGCTGGCTTTATGCTTTGCTTATTGGGGGAATGTACTCACTGGCCTTATGCTTTGCTTATTGGGGGAGCGTGCTCCCTGGCTTTATGCTTTGCTTACTGGGGGGGCTGCTAGGGTGAACCGCCGAATCGGGAATTGGACCCTTGCTCAAAAGAGGCCTCTCCAGTACTAAAGCTTGTATAGAAAACTCAATTTTGGATCGAATCTGGAGGGAACCCCCATTGGGAAAGGTTTAGGGTTGGCTTGTTAGGGTTTAGGGTTTGTTAGGGTTTAGGGTTCAGGGTTTTAGGTTGGTTTAGGGTTTAGGGTTTTGCAGAAACACCAGTGCTGTTGTGAAGTGATCCGCGCCGCCTCAACAAGGGAAGTGGCTACGAAAAACGACTTGAGTCATGCGATGTGAGATGTATAGAACGTGTTGTACATCGCTCTAGCAAAGGCAACAGTCGTGACCATATGTACAACCTTGTCACGCAGACTTTGCATAAATGCAGTTTACAGACACTGAAGGATTTCAGCTGTTGTGCGTAAAAAGATCAATTCGAGTCGCGGTGCTTCCATGGATGGACATTTGATTGCCTCTGGAGTGCTGCTTTGAGACCCTGGGTTGCAGGGTTCAGTAGGTTATGAGCGCGCAAGACGCTCAGCAAGCTTCGCGAAATGATCGTCCAGGCGGGGCGAATGATGATGCTGGGACCTCCGGTCTGCCGAATGGAGTTCTGCAGGGTTCTGGAGGGACAGAGAACGCCAACCTTGCTGTGGAAGCTGGAGTGAGAGGAGGGAGCCAGGATGTCAATGGACCTTCCGTGCCGGTGGCAGGGCTTGAAGCGCAGTCCCAGCCGGGGACAACGGAGCCCGCATCTACGCTGGAGCAGGGTGGGCGATTGAGCGCCCGTACGACTCTTGATGTAGGCGGAGGACCAGCTCTGGCAACTGGGAATGCGTCGAGGCAGTCGGTGATGTCAAATGATTTTCTGACGCCGCGTTCGGTGGCAACAGTACAGGGCCAGCCTAACTGGCTCGGGTCACTGGAGTGGCCCAGGTGGATGTCGAGGCTGGGATCCTATGTGGCTCCGGTGGCATCTGATCTGCTTCCGAGTCCGCTGCCAAGCCAGCCGACTCCACCGGGTGGACATGCGTTCACATTGCGGTCGCCTGTGAGACAAAGGCCGCTCAGGAGACCGGCGACTCCACCGAGTAGCTCTTCGATACCTGCCGAGGCCATACAGCAGGAGGTGCAGCGGCAGTTGGGTGGGCTACTTAGCAGGCTTGACGATGCAGAGCTACGTAATGAACAACTGATGAGGGATCTGCAAGCCGCGAGGGTGGAGGCCGAAGAAGCGAGAACACAAGTCATGCAGCGAGAGCGCGAAGGGGATATACTTGAGAGACGGTCTCTACGTGATCCACTACAAGTACCTGAGGGTCCTATCGAACTTCCTACTCTTGGTGGGTTACTTAGTGCTCCTCTTCCCCTACCGGAGCGCTCAGGATGGCTTCGTGGTTCAGGAGGGTTGTTTGGTGATCCTCTTCCAGTACCTGAGAGTCTTGGAGGGCCACCTAGTGCTCCGCTACCAGTCTCAGGACCTCCTGCAGCAGATCAAGGGCGAGGAGGACGGCAGGCTACCAGTGGAACGGCCCTAGGCGGAGCTATAGACCATGAGCCTTTGAGAATTCCCTCGGCAGCACTTTATCAAGATCCGCAACCACAAGCGCAGCAGGCCTCAGCACCGAACCCTACGAGTACTTCAGGTTTTCTTCGAGGACTAATAGGAGCTGGCAGAGGGCGATCTGAAACACCACCGCCTCAGGGAGAGCGCTCACACCCGGACTCCCCCATGCTGGAAACCATTGCTAAGGGCATGCAGCAACTACAAGAACTACAAGCCCAAGCCATGTCTAGGACGTCAGCTACGGCAAGTGAGACAGTTAAGCCAGGAACCTTGGCATTGGCGGAGCTTCCAGATGTTCATGGAGGCGCACAGTCGGCCTGCTCTTTCAGGACTGGGTTGAGGCAACGTCGTCTGTGATGGCAGATGTTTCGGAGCAGTCGGGGGCATGGTGGAAGTCTGTTATGTTGCTGGTGGAGAGCGCCTATGTACGGTGGTTAAATGCTACCCCTAGCTATTGGTCCGGAGGGAACCGACGACCTGGTGACCAACAGGCGGACACGCCTGGGTGCTCGGGTGACGTCGATGTTGCTGTCGGCTATGACCTCGGAGTTGAAGGCAGATATGTTGTCACAGAGAATCAGCCAGAATGCCCCGAAGATGGTCTTCAGGTTGTTCACTTGGTATCAGCCGGGAGGGTCAGCAGAGCGACATGAAGTGCTACGGAGGTTGCAAACACCGCAGGACTATGTGGTGGGCGAGGGAGTCCAGGACGCGCTGAAGGAGATTCGTGGCTGGCCAAGGTGGCTTGCGAGATGCTCGAACATGGGAATGGTCCCTCCGGACCCTTCGGTGATGGCGAGGCGGCTACACAGTGTTTCTCAGAAGCACATTTCAGCCTCGCAGGACTCGTCGTTCAGGACGGCGATGCTGCGGACTACGCTTCGCCTGGACGGGCAACCGTCCTTGGATCAGGTACGATCGTACCAGCGGCACTTGCAGGCGGAGCTCGAGAACTTGGCGGCCGCTCACCCATCTACTACTACGACAACCCCTCACGCGAGGGCCGCGGAAGGACCTTCGACGCCAACGTCACCTACTACAACCAAGGGTGGTGGCAAGCAGAAGGACAAGAGTGGTGAGCTTTGCAGGTACTTTGCGAAGGCATCTGGATGTAAACGGGGCGATCGCTGTACCTACTCGCACAACATGCAGCTGATGGACCGCGATCTAAGGTCCCGTAAATGTTTGAGATGCGGCAGTGAAGCTCATCGTGCCAAGGACTGTGTTGTGGGCAAGGGCGCACCAAAGGGACTTCCGGGGGGTCCACCTGTGAAGCAAGGAGACAAAGGAGGGGGACGGGATCCTGGAGTGTCTTCGGTGAGCACGGCGTCTTCGACCCTTAACAGCAGTGAAGCTCCGATTCAAGGTGTCCCCTGGACCATGGAGACGCTGATGCAGGCAGCCCAGCAGGTGATCCAGAACCAATCCTCAACTTCGCCTTCCGGAGATTCGTCGCCTGAAAAGACTAAGCCCCAGGTCAGGGTGTTGGCGATAAGGGACATTCGGGTGTCTTCAATGAACGACACGACCTCAGCACTCTTGGACTCGGGCGCCACGCATTGCCTACGAAGCGCAGTGGACAGTAAAGAATGGCAGGAGGCGGAAGAAGTCCTGGTGAGGCTGGCGGCAGACAGGTCGCTGACTATGAGGTTGAGTTCCGGTGGTTCCCTTTTGATGCCTCCGAGGGCCTCTAGCAGTACTTCATCTACTACAAGTACGGGAGCTCAGACCATAGTTCCACTTGGAGAACTGGTGAGGACACTGGGGTACACCCTAACATGGTCTCCGCAGGGATGCAAGTTGCGAGATGAGTTTGGTGTGGAGCGTAACTTGAAGGTTTCAGGAGGATGTCCACTAATTACTACAAGAAACGGAGGCTCTCGCAATGATCTCTAGACTTGAGGACAAGAAGAGGGAGATGCTGGAGAACCAGACCACGGCGACCATGGATGCGGTGACCTTGGCAGCGATGAGGCTGGAGATGTCGCGGAGGGATCATTTGGAGCAGTACGTCAAGGACGGGACGATGGAGGCAGGTCTGCGAGCTCTACGAGATGTTCCATTCCTACAGGACGTGCCGGGTGAGTGTGTAGATGGGCTCATTCAGACGGGTCTCCACAAGAAGGGATGGAAGGTAGTAAAGGAGGTGGACTTTCTTACGCGCCCCCAGAATAGGCACTTGTTTGGGGCAAGAAAGTGGATCGTCCATGTATGCGCTGGCAATCCTGGACACTACCAGTTCTTCCAGCTCGATGATGGCCACACTGCCGTGCTGGAAATAGACCCAGACCGCAACCGAGGCCAGGATCTGATGAAGAGCTCCACGTGGCGATTGCTTCTTTGGGGCGCGCTCACGGGGAGGATAGACTCTCTCATTGGAGGACCCCCAGGTCGAGGCGCTTCCTTCAACCACATCGACAAGTACGGCGACAAGGACCTAAGGAGTTTGACCGTGATTACAAGGATGTTGTGGTTGTACACAATAGCGACGGCCTCCCGGATGGCATGTTCAGGGGAAGTGCAGCAGCAACATCACGGTCGTCCAGTGAGCTTTGTTTTGGAGCACCCCGCGGAGGAGATCCGAGCAGAGCAGTCCTGGTGGAAAACGCCTATATGGGAAATGTTACAGGAGGAGATGGGGATGTCCAAGGTTACGTTTGACCAAAAATGTATGGGGGCATCGAGTTCGTCCTTAACAACCATGGGAACCAACATCTACTACTTGATGGGGTTGAACGGTGTAGGTCGCGACTTGGACCAAGCCACGGAAGGTGAAAGTGGACACCGAGGAAGCGGAGTCTGGTCACCAGGACTTGTGAATGCATTGGTGATGGCCCTCCGGTTCTGGACGAGCCGCCCTAAGTGCTCCCCAACTCTGATGGCAATGTCGCCGGAGCAGTGGAAGCAGCATGTTCAGTCGGGGCACGCGAACTACCACAGGGATTGCCTTACATGTGTTACCTCAAGAGGAACGGGAAGAAGACATGCTCGAGTTCGACACCCGGATTCCTTCACACTCACCATTGACCTGGCGGGGCCGGTGAAGCCTGGTCTGGATGCTACGTCGAAGGGGACAATGGGGCGTGGCCTGAAGTATCTCTTCGTCGCCCGTTATGTGTTCCCCAGGGAGTTTGCGAAGGCCTACTCGGGACGGTCGCCCCCCGAGGACGATGGGTTGCGAGATCCACAAGAAGCGGAGCACAACTACGAGGAGGAGGGTGATGGCAAGGAACTCGCGAGACCTTCTCTACTACCACCACGTGAAGAAGGGGAGGAAAAAGATGAAGGCGAGCATGGTTTGGAGGACCGTGTGGACGGCGAGGAACTTGCAAGACCTTCTCTACTACCACCACGTGAAGAAGGGGATCCGTTCAGCTTTTAAGAAGATGAGCCAAGTGAGCAGGGTCTAGTTCAAGACGATGAAGATGAGCCAAGTGAGCAGGGTCACCAGTCGTCATATGATGAAGAGGTTGACAGAGATCTCATGGGCTTTGCTGGTGGGTCACAGGAACAGAAGCGCACCTATGAGAAAGGAGATTTGGACTACGAGCCATCCCTACCAGGAGGTGATCCCCCTTGTGAGCTATCAGGTGATCTTCCCAGGAGGAGTGCGCAGGTACCTTTTCCAGATTGCGAGGCACCTGAAATGACACACCTACTATTTGCCCGCGCTCTACCAAACAATGGGACAATGGCGGTGAAGGCTGCTCTACAAGATGTCACCTTGTACCTGGAGGCCCATGGACTTCCGGTTTATCGTCTACATGCGGACAAGGGCGAGACCTACAACCACACGATCCGTTCGTGGCTTCGGGACCAAGGCATCAGAGCGACATGGTCAGAACCTGGGGTTCCTCAAGGGAATGGCCAAGCGGAGACAAGTGTGAGGTGGATAAAGGATCGGGCCAGAACGTTGTTGATGGCGTCAGGTCTTCCGGTTCGTTTGTGGCCGACGGCGGTGGAGGCGGCAACGGCGTGTCAGAGGGCAAGAGTGCTTGGTTGGAAACAGAAAATGCTAGTCCCCTATGGTTCCGTGGTGCACGTGAAGCAAAAGGCCTTTGACTCCAGTGGTCCAAGGAGAAGAGAGCGTGCCTTTGAGTCAAAGTGGTTCAGAGGGATCTACGTGGGACTGAGCAATATCCTGGACAATGGGCACGTGATCTACGTACCGGGCACCAAAGATACTAAGGAGAAGTTTGTGCATACGCTTCATGCTAGGAAGAAGCTCGTGGACCCAGGACCGCCTGTCGAGGAGGCGGTGGTGGATGATCCTAAGCCCAGGAGGAGACTTGCGCAGAAAACACCACTGGAGGATGTGGAGATGCGGGCACTCAAGTTGAAGGGTGATGACCTCGATGAGTATATCAAGACCCGCTCAAGTATTTTGTTGAGTGACTGGGACCAGGAGCAAGCCACCCGGTTTATTGATGAGCTAGCAGCTAGCAGAGCACAACTTCTTCGAGGATCACAAGTTCGGCGTCTTCAGGCATGGTGGAAGTGTGGGATGGTTACGGGGTTTGGGAGAGTATCCTGAACTCTCTAGACTCCTGAGCAAGTTGATCCGGCACTCCAACCCCGAGGCAACGTTCACGGCTATTCAGGTTGCCCGGAATATGGACAAGGGGATGCACCGTGACTTCAACAACGACGAGCGTGCAGTGAACTACGTGTATCCAGTCAGGGTGCCGCATCATGGAGGTGATCTGTGGGTTGAGTTGTGCAAGGGTGATGCAGTGAAAAGGGAAATAGTGGAGCGTGTAGATGATCGCGGAAAGAAGATCTACGGCCAGATCTACAGGATGAGGTCTGGAATGACTACGGTGTTTTCTCCAAGAAGGACCCATGAGGTCCTACCGTGGGAAGGTGTACGTACGGTGGTGATTGGCTACACTCCGCAGTGCTTGGGAAAGCTTGATCAACAAATGGTTAACGAGCTGGAGGATCATGGTTTCTCGGTCCCATTGTCTCAGATGCCAGACTACTTTACCCCGGAAGGAGTGGAGTTGAAGGCCTTGCAACCACCACAAGACGGCGCGGAGGAGGACCAGTTCCGTGAGGCGAACTACGCGGGCTATGTGGACGATACCGACCTCGAGGAGTGGGACATGTTCGTGGAGGCAGACGATGGTCTGGTGAAGGTGGGAACCAGTGAAGGGATGCCTACGGATCAAGAGGAGCTGGCTTTACAAAAGGTGGAAGTTACGTATACAAAGAATGTGGAGGAGATCCTTCGCAACTTGAGCAGCCCTCTTGAAGTGACCTACACAGTGGACCCACGAGAAGTGCATCAGAATATTGAGCTCTGGCGTTCGGCTATTGAGCGTGAAGTGGCCAGTGTTGCAGTCGCAATTTGCAAACTTCTTCCGGGAACGCCACAGAGAGCAGAATGGATGCACCGACCAGGCGCCCAGAAGCTACCCACCAAACTGGTCTTCACTGTGAAGCCGGGAGCAAACCCGGACCCGTCAGATCCGAGTACATGGTTCAAGAGAAAGGCGAGGCTGGTGGTCTGTGGCAACTACGCATCAGCAGATGGCTCCGACCTCTACTCCGAGACGGCGCCTTCAGAGTCAGTGAGGATGGGTTTGGTGTATTCCATACGACAAAAATGGATGGTAGGACTGATCGATGTCGTTGCGGCCTTCCTACGTACACCGTTGAACTATGAGGAGGGTGCCCCCACCATCATTGTTACTCCACCTCGACTGTTGGAGCGGTTGTCTATGATTCTTGAAGGTGAACTGTGGGGCCTGGTCCGGGCCCTTTACGGGCTGCGCCAGGCACCGGCCCTTTGGAGCGCCTACCGGGACAAGAGGTTGGAAGCAATGAAGTTTCCCATGGGCATGAGGCTACATCGAGGACGGACAATAACGGCATGGTGGGTCTTAAAGGACGAGAAGAGCAAGATCCGTGCTCTCATCATAATCTACGTCGACGATATCTTGCTCATGGGCGAGGAGACGGTTGTCCGCGATATTGCCACAACAGTTCAGGAGGAGTGGACTACTTCGCCACTTACTATCCTTCGTCCGGGAGAACCTATCAGATTTCTTGGGACGGAGATGGAAGTGGATCCTGACCACATGACTGTGTATTTGAGTCAGCGCGGCTACGTTGAGGAGGTGGTCAGGGCTTACGGGTTTAGCGAAGAAGATAAGGCGAAGATCCCTTTGGCCAAGGACCTCGCAAGCTTCGAGTGGATCGAAGGGGACTTGGAACCAACTCCAGATGCAGTGGCGAGTGCTCAGCGAGTGACTGGAGAAGTCATGTGGATGGCTCACAAAACCCGAGCAGATGTAGCTTACAGCTCAAGCTTGATGACGTCAATCACCCTGAAGGCTCCGTTCCGGTGTTTAAACATAGGCTACAAAGTCTTAAAGTACCTGTACGGCACGAGAGACTACAAGTTGGCAATTCGAGACGATGGAAGCGGCCTGGTGCTCTACCCGGACGCAGCGTTCGCTCCGAGTAGCGGGAGATCCCACACTGGATGGCTGGTGTGTTGGTGCGGAACGCCGATATGTTGGAGGAGCTAGAGAGGGTCTAAGACTCAATGGTCTGGTTCAGTCTGGCTTAAAGCAGGACATAGCTACAAGGCTGGCTCAAGTACTAGTTCGCCAGCTGGGCACTGGATCAGGACCTACGTTGAGGCAAATGCGATATTTACTGTGGCTGTGGCGTGAAAGAAATCTGAGTGGCCGGACGTTACTCAGTTGGTCATGCCTAAGATCCCGGGGCGATACGTCGCGGACCATAACACACTGGAAAGGCCTATGATGGTACACTGCAGCTCTTACAAGCTTTGCGAGGAGGAGTGCAGAAACACCAGTGCTGTTGTGAAGTGATCCGCGCCGCCTCAACAAGGGAAGTGGCTACGAAAAACCCCTGGTGTTGTACATCGCTCTAGCAAAGGCAACAGTCGTGACCATATGTACAACCTTGTCACGCAGACTTTGCATAAATGCAGTTTACAGACACTGAAGGATTTCAGCTGTTGTGCGTAAAAAGATCAATTCGAGTCGCGGTGCTTCCACGGATGGACATTTGATTGCCTCTGGAGTGCTGCTTTGAGACCCTGGGTTGCAGGGTTCAGTAGGTTTAGGGTTCCAGGCACTGGCATGATGCTTTGCTTACTACGGGAATGTGCTCACTGGCTTTATGCTTTGCTTATTGGGGGAGTGTGCTCGCACGACTACTGTACTTTTGCTGCACGATTACTGTACTATTACTATACCACTACTGTATTACTACTGTACTACTATTGCATTGCTGTACTACTAGTATACTACTACTATACTAGTCGGGGGTCACTGGTTCCAGACTATTTGAGCCCCAACATTTTGGTTGGGAGAGGGGGGGGCCTGACTATTTAGGCCGCCACATTACCTTCAAGTGAAGCGACTGATCTGCATATCATCTGCATATCATCTGCAACTCTTGCTCGCTAAGTGAGAGTAAGGCAACACATAATCTCCGCAATCTGACCTGATGCAAGACTTCTTGGAGTGAGCGCACTCTGCAACCGACCCTGCAATTAAGAAGCTGCAGTTCGTACAGGTTGGAAATTGTGCCCCAAGACTTGAAACCCTTGAATCCTTTAATCTCCTGAGCCCCTAGACAACGGTAGCCCTAAACCCTGGAACAGCAAATCTCAAACCCATCTGAGCCTAAGAACTCCCTGTTTGCACACCCTAAGCCTGAACCGCAGCCCTTAAACCTGGAACCACGAAACTCAAACCCAGAACCTAAACCCATGCCGAGGTACAACTATTGCCCATTGTTTCCCCCTTGGGGATCCGCGGGCCTCCAGGACGAGGTTAGGCTTGCGACACGGGTGAAGGTTCAGGAAAGCGCACTGATTACCCAATAGAGTTCAAGGCTTCGAGTTTAGGATTACGGTTAGGGTTTGGGTTTCAGAACTTGGGGTTCAGGATTCAGGATTTGAGGCTGTAGGTGCAGGGTATAGGGCTTGGGATTCAAGGCTTAGGGCTTAAAGTCTGGATTTTCGGTTCAAATCGGGCTTGGTGTAGACAAGGAAGGACAGGTGACAGCGCGAGTGCCCCACGAGCCCTTAACTTCCGCCGATATCAGAACTGGTCTGAGGCTCGGCTTAGCCATCGAGTTGTGGCTAGACTCCAGAACCGCCGTTTAATCTGCTGAAACCTCATGGAAACCCAAAAGCCAAGCCCGAGCGAGGCTCACCTCCTCCATCGCTGCCGGTTCCTCGCCGGATTCGAGAAGCTGCATGGTGTCGGCTTGCTCCTCGAACAGCACGGAAGTTTTGAACCTTGCTTACACCCCCAACTCCTGACCCACATGGGTAAAGAGCCGTGAAAACCCGTAAGCACTGAACCCCGGAGCCCAAACCCGGCAAGGGCTTCTCCGGGTTCTGGAGACTGAAGCGGCAAAAGTTCTGAGAAGCTTTGAGGCTCAGAATTCCACACCGGTAGCATTCGAATTCAGATTTCTTATGTTTGAAAGTTCAAGTCATTTCGGGTTCAAGGCGGTCCAGCATTTGTGAAACCTGGATCCAAAACAAGTCCTAGACTGCAGACACACAGAGTGTAAATCCCGCAAATCAGTCATTCCCGCAACCGCTCCCTGTAGGGTCTCAACTAAACTTTGGAATTGCCCTGAGCTCACGGTCCCTGCCACGTACAGCATTCCTCAAAAGGAGTCCACTAAAACAGGATCTCAGAATAGAACAACCCTGGTATCATGAGGACATAAGCACCCATGCAAGACAGTATTTGTGAGAGGACGCAGGTGAAGACATAAAATGAGAAATGGATTGGATGAAGCTTTGACACCGAGCAGGCCCTGTTGGTGTGCAGCTTACCCCGGAATGGTGCGTAGATCCCGACACTCTATCCTGGAGACCTGCCCTAAGCCTCAAACCCTGAAGCCGTCTCCAAAGCCCTGGACCCTTCAAGCCGAAATCTGGCCCTGGGCCTCCTTGAGGCCGTGCGTCGGCATGGCGTGCAGTCTCTCGGAGCGGCGTTAAGAGCTTCGAGCAGTGACTTGCGGCAGGTCAGTCGGTCCCTTGCAAAAGCTCAGGCAATGCGGCTAAGGTGGCTTTTCTGCACTTGGCATAGAGCCAATTTAGGAAACCATCATGGTTCATGATAGCGGTAACAACACGAAACTGTAGCAACAGCATGGCCGCAAGAATAAGAACAACAGTTGCAGAAGTAATAGTGATCAAACGTTGTGAGCTTTTCAACCCAAGGCCACAAGCCCATGGAGCTTAAAACCCAAAGTCTATCATGGGAACCAAACGCTCCCCAGAACCTGTAAAGGCAGCCATGCAAAACTCTTTCTCAAACTAGCCGGAAACTTCTTAACCCTACTTTTCGTAAAACCCTGTTGATTCTACCATGAACTCCGAACCCCAAAAAATAATTCTCAACCCGGACGTGATTCATTTCCCAGGTATTCGATCCGGTTTTGGGCGTAAGGATTTCGGGTTCTCGACTACTCACTCTAGGTTTCCTTGCTCTGACTTCTCGTTTACTTACCGTTGGTTAGTGGGAATGGAAGAATGGTAGTAATAGTAGGTATAATTGACCCCATTCCTCCATTCCCTACTAACCAACGGTAAGTTTAGAGCTGGAGACTGCTCAGGACATCCCGAGGCTCCAGGCAAAACCGCGCCGAAACTTTCGATGTTCTCAGCCTTGGGCCTTAGCCTTGGGACCCTGACTTCGGGACTTAGTAACTAGGGTTATAATTAAGGTAACTATACTTATAACTACTTATAACCCCAATTAAGGTACTTATAACCTTACTTACTAAGTCCCCAAGCTCCCAGCAACAATTTTTTAATGCTAGACTCTGAAACCTAGCCAACGGCCCCAGAGTAGTTCCTTTTTGGGGTTCATATATAGAATCCTATAAGGTAACCCCAAAAAGGAACTACTATGGGGCCTCTGGGTAGGTTGTTACTGAAACCCTGAGAAACATTTCTTCTGCCACGTACTTCGACGCTGGGGCGGATCTGACGAACGGGTTCAGCCGCAAGCTACGGTGAGACTTCGAGTGCTTAGGGTTTCGAGGTTTGGGGGCTGCGGGTTTCGGGTCTACGAAACCTCAAGATCCCGCATGCGCTTCGCGCAACATCGGGCTTGAAGCACGCAGAGTGCATCGAAGGTACGGTGGAGGGCTAGGGCTTGGAGGTTCCAAAGCATGTCCACAAGGGGAGCAACGGGGCACCAGTCACGTCCAGATGCACCTTGAAAAAGAAAGAGTTACGTCCACCCATCGCCACCGGAAGCTGCGAAAGCTTCTCTCGTCGTGGTCGCTTCATCCTAGAGATTCTGGCAGAAGCGTGGAATCCTAAAAGATCCTACAAACTAAACCCTGAACCAAAATCCCTCGCTAATTTGGGTTTGCAGCTGCCGCTAGGGCCTCCGAGTGGACATGTCTCCACGAAGGAGAAATTTGCACTAGTCCGGAGTCTATTCTCAGGGGCTTCGGAACTTGCAAGTTTTGGGGAAGCTCCAGGATTTTGGCTTTAGGAATTCTGCGACTCAGAGGGTCTATGGTGGATTTGAAGGGGAATAGGTTGAGGTCTACCATCTCCTCTCGGCTACAATCGTGAAAACCTCAGAACGGACGTCCACCATTCACTGCCACAATTATCAACCCCGGATACTGGACCCCAACTTCCAAACTCGTAGGCCCTAACCCGAAGGTTCAAAAGCAGAAGCTCCAAGAGGCTATCTTCCAAATCCCAAATCCTGGTTTCTAAATCCCAAACCCTAGCGCCCGCACGAAGACTCCCGGAAGGCTTCGCGGGGGGGACATCAAAAGACTCCGGGCGAGCGCAGCGGCAATTTGCAAAACAGAGGAGGGGAGGCCGGCTGAGAGGCCGCGTTGAGGGCTTTCTCGGCAGATTCGGGGCATAGGGGTGAGCCTGAGTGGGTTTAGGAATTAGGCCTTAGGGGATTTGGGTGTAGGGATTTCGGCAAATGGAGAATAAGCAATAAGTAAGCCCACCAAGGCCTCGTCCAGACATGTTCAGAGGGCCCACTGAAACGCTTCTGAACGGAAAACAACCTAAACCCTCAAGGTCTTAATAAAATTGAGCCCATTCACTGAGGCCCTTAACCTTTTACAACGCTTGGAGGGGATGCAGCCCTCAGCAGCCCCCCTGCTTCCTCAGGAGCCATGGCCCAGACCGACCAAGCTGAACTGTGGGTTGTTCTTTCGGGTCGAGGATTTTTTCGCCTTTAGGTCGGTGTGTGAATTCAGAAACTGTAGAGTGTCGGAAGTTTCCGGGGGCCTTAAGGGTGTCCGGAGCTAAATGCCATTGGAGCTTTGCGATGTTCCCATCCCTTCGAGGCATGCCTTGCCTTCAGCTTATGGCTTTTGGGGCCTGTTAGGGTTTAGGGTTTCAGGCTTTGGGGGTTTGGGGCATCTGAAGATCCCGAGTTGAGAACAGCCCAGGATTGCCAAGAGGCCAACTGAACCGAACTACAGGTGAGGCGCTTCACAGCCAGACTTGTAACGAGATTGTCTAGGGTCTGCGCTTAGG